GAAAATATTACTTCGCGATATATTTCGATATATCTCTAAATAACTCGTCGAAAGAAATACACTTAATTTTAACACTCGCGATATTTTTTAAATTTGATTTTGAAAACACGTAACTTCAATATTTACGATATTCTTCAAAAGATATTTATTAAAGATTCCACCGAATAACAAAACAAATTTTTCGAAAAAATTTAACCAAAATTGATTTTAAACTTCACAATTTCTCTACACTGACGAACGCCACGACGAAAGACAACACAATGAACGGAAGAAACGTGACAAGATATGTACATAATCGTTCCAATAAATTATCCGCATGTCGCGTAATTCTTTTCGACTACGAGGAGGCCTCTGCCTTGAAACGAGCGCGGCGATCGTCTGTCGGTAATGCGAATTCGCCGCTGCTTTTCGCGCTCCTTTCCCCTTCTACGTTTCCTTCTGTCATTCGTATTTTTGCCACCAAACACTCGAATTCTCCGCGAAGGTCAGACCTGCGTGCATGACCAACGCAATATACGTCTTTCAGTGATGCTTTCATGAGAATTTCCTCGACTGTCGTTTCTTTTTACATGGAATATTCTTTCCGTCTTCTTTTTTTTTGTAATTATGTGAATGAATAGTCGATTGTTGTGGAAATTTAATGAATTATATACAATGATTAAAAATTTCATTGAAATGTTTTCGTTTTTCTTACGTAGAATATCTTTTTCTTTTTCTTGTAATTACATGAATGAATTTGAAAAATGGATATCGTAATGTTGAATGATGAAAAAAAAGTTTGACGATTTAAAAAATTTTAATCCTTCTTCTTTTATCATCCTATAATACGAAATATCTATCGATAACTACTGAACGAATTATATCGAAAGAATATGTTATATCGATGTGTTATATGTTGATAATAAAAGGAAAATATTTTAAAGATTATTTTTATATTTTAGAGTGTCGAAACACATAAAAATAAAAATTTTGCATTAAATTTGGAAATTGCGTGCACGAAATTCAACTTTCGCCGATATTATTTTCTTTTTATAGCATACGATACCGTGGAATAAGGTAGCAATTATCGCATCTAACGTCAAAACTATATTATACTATTATATCTTATAACTCGCAACAATTTTGCAACTAATTGCATGTTTAATACGAACAGAGCACGGAAATATCCTTTCATGCTCATCCCAACGTTCATTTACAATTTACATCTGATGCGTATACACACACACACTCGTGCAGCTCTTTCATTGACGATTGTTATAATATTTTATGAATACGAGATTTGGGACAATTTTCAATTTATACGTAGATTACATGCATCGTAAAATTTCACAAATTTCGAGATATCTATCCATCTATCGACTTTTCATGTTTGCATGGGATCCTAGTAACCTCTGACACTTGGGTCTTTATGCAAATTTCTACCTTGGAATCCTAAAAGTCAATGTCGCTATTTTACCTCTATCAAAATATTACAATGCACTACTCTATACTCACATTTTAAACTTTTCAGCTTTGAATCTCTAAAAAAGGAATTCAAATCAATTTTGAAAGAAAAGAATTTTCCTATTTTTCTATATAATAAAAATATTTCATGTGCAGATGTTCGTTATCGCCAATAATCTATCGCACTGCATAAATATTTCCTTGTTCCATTATGTGTTCAGTTGCACTTAAGTTTTATGATCAAAGAGATAAAGACTGTTTACTGAAAAAAAAAAAAAAACAATAATGCAATAAACGAAAAGCATCGTTCGAATTTACAAAAATTTATATTTATAAAAATGTCGCAAAGGAGTGGTTTGCTGACATAAATGCTTATCAGAAATTAGATAAATTTCTGTATACAATCGATATCAGTGTTATACAGTGATTTAATTTTTATGGAAAAGGAAAATGATTTCAGTGAAGAGCAAACTTAAAATATGCGTGGTTATGTATCGTCAATGGACTCGAATGTGTATGGTTTTTTGCAAAAAAAATCTACAATATTTAAAAATTTTTAATATTGATGTGTTTAGCTGCATGAAATATTTTGGTTAAAAATAAACGTATTCTATAAAATTTTTTTATTAAATATTTTAAGAATATTTTAAAATAAAAAAATAATTGTACTGCAATTGTATTAAAATTATCGTATTTTGATGTAGAATAAAGATTATCGATTTATTTTTTACGATAAATATATTTAATTTTCAATTTGAAATTTTGTAATTTTCCATATATCACACGATATGACTTCTAAATTCTATTTTTATTTTGAAAACAATTTATCTTTTTCAATATATATTCCAGAAGAAAAAAATGTCAGATACAAAATTATTTGTTCAGTTCTATTTTTGGTCTCCATCAATAATAGATAACTTGTGAAACGATTATTTTTTTCTATGACAAATATTTTTCTTTTTTTCTGTAAATAAATTTGTATTTTATCTATATTAAAATTGTCGCTGTTTGATTATACATATGGCAACTTGAACAATTTCCTGACTTCAAAGTGGCAATTGTTCTCTATCAGTGAATACACAATTCTATCAGTTTCTTTGTTCGTGGAAAGCATTTTGATTAGTCCACGTACTCGTGAAATAACATTTTAGATACGAGGAATTTTAAATAATCCTCGGCATATGTTAACAACGATAATTTTATTAAATTTTACGAAAATAATTAAGCATAGGAATTCATTTTATGGTATATGAAAATTATTTGGAAAAATATATTGTATGCTTTATATATGTAATGTGTAATATTCGTAAAATATTTTTATCTCAATATTATTTTAATATTCTTGTTAGATATATTTATCTTTATATGTATTTTTATTTTAATATCAAATTTCATTATTATCAAACTCTCACCCCAACTATTCGAAGTTCACGAATGATTTCAATAATTTATTAATATCAATGATTTATATATACTGTCAATGATAATTTTATCGACGATTAAAAAATAATATTTATTTCAATCTCGAACTTTTAAATTTTTAATATTGATAATCCATTATAATTACATAATTAAAATTTTATTCTTTATATTTTCACTCAATATTTATCGAGTTAATAATTTTATACATTAACTTCGATTTATCACATTTCCAAATAGAGGAAATTCGTTATTGGAAATCATTATTATACTTTCCACAACTTGAACGTATCGATAATTCATCGAAACTTTTTCAACTCGCCGTTAATCAAATGTCTATTACAACTTTCGATGTATTATTATTTCTCGCAACTGCAGGTGACAAACTTGGCAATTCATCAGTCACTTAATCGAGTGCAATAAGGTTTGTATTTGTATGGTTGCAAAACGAGGAGCATACCAATCGGTTAACTGAATGATAAAACACGACCGTTATTTTGTACTCAATTGCCCTCTTTTCACTGTATTCCATTAATTCCCATATTAATTCATGTAGTGAAACATAATAAACGATATATTTAAAAATCTCATTAATTCATTCTGTAATATTTTAAACATATTTAAAATTTTAATAATATTACATAATTAAATCACAATATTACACATGCTTCATACAATCAGACCTGGGCGTATTAGAATTACTTTTTAAAATTATTTAAGAAATAATTTATCTCATATTTCACGAAATAAATTATTTGATTTAAAAATAACTAGTTTCTTAATATATCAGCAGCATTAAATGTTTATATTATTATAATTTCTAATTAACATTATTACACACTTATTATGATTATTGTTTAATATTTTGAAATGTTATTTCAAGAATGAATTTTCTATTAAAAAATAAACGTTATTTCTTCAATAATCAATTCTTTGATTTGTTATTTTTCCTAATATTCATTTTACATATATTATATTTCTTCAATTGACAAAATAAAGAACATAACCTCAATTGAAATATAATTATTCATCGAAGTATTTATTTAAAAATTATTGTTTTGAAATTATTATTTGAAATAAATTTCGCCCAGATCTGTATTTAATTATTCATCAATTATAATCCTTAATTATAAACTAAATAAACATGCAATGAAATACCTTTACTTTATCACTTGCTCTTTCGTAAATCCATTCAAAGCTTCACATATATTTATTACACCAAACATTTAAATAAACTGAATAAATTAATATTTACTCTCGCAATAAATTTATTTCGACGATAATTTAAATGCAAAATCGAATCTTTACGATAAATCTACCTCACTTGCACAGGTTATACCTTCAAACTAAGAACGATCATGCACATATATGTAACAATGCTTGCACGCCACCTAACCTCATCTGCGATTTTTTCTCGTAATCGAATCTTGCTCGATCCGTTGTGAAACAATCGTACACTTCCTCTAATGTAAACGATTGCTTTTCATGTCATGCACAACGAGCAAATTTCATGCTCTGTTTCGTTCAAGCAGCGATATATCGCAAAAAAATATTCAAATAGCTGAAATATAGAAGGAAAAGGGGGAAACGAAAATCGCTTAAAAATTAGGATTCTTTTTTCGAAAATTTGGAAATTGCTAATGCAATGTTTTCCAACGTTTTTGGAAACGTAATATTAAAATAAATTTATAATATTAATTATAATTATTTATGCAAATCCTTAAAAATAAAATATTAAATATGTATGAATTAACCAATTAAAAATGAATTTGTACATAATTACGAAAGAAATTGCAATTTTTTTAAATATTTAGTTTTTTAAACTAAATTATTTTAAAGATATTTTGGATACTAGAATAAAAATATTAAAATATTTGTCGATCATGAGAGTATCGACATATTTAAAGGATCGATTTTAAATCGACGATGCAATCTTTCTATATAAATAATTGCACATAAAAATAACTATACATGATTTTTCTAACCTCTTTGAGAATCATGACTTATAAAAAACACTGCATTAGATAAATAATTTATTAAATGGGAACAAAAAAAAATATGAAAATGAAAGAGAAATGAAGAATCGAAAAGTAAATGTATTAAAAAAAAAAAAGAAAATGATTAGCATATGGCATTACCTTGGCAGTCGTCTCTGTAGTGCTGAGATTTTGGCGGCGGCGGGGGTGCGTTCGAGTATTCTATGGACGAGCCGAAAAAAAAAGGAAAAATAATAAATTAGCCGTACTACGATTATCATGAAACGATAACTTCGCAACGTGGTTTTACTGTGAACATTGAACGCTATTTCTTGGGTTAATGGGATGGATTCTTTTGCTTCGGCGATCAATCGATATTGGTGCATCGCAACCAGTTACTTTTCCAGCGATGCGATTAAGAAGAAACGGTCGACAATGGGATTATATTTTGAAAATCATTCGAGTACAATGCGTAGACAAGAGAAGGATAGAGATTTTTCGATTCTCTTCGATGGAATTTGTTGATTTTTCTTTAACTGCAACGATGTAGACTTATTGAATAAATTAACAATAGGTTAAAAAAATACGAAGAAAAAAAAAATTTTTTTAAATTTTAAAAATATCTGCTAGATATTTCTCTAATCAATTATTCGATAGACAACGAAATGAATAATTCTCATTGTTCATTACAATAAAATAATAATATATTTTTTAAAATATATTCTTTCATTTGTAATATGCATTTCATATTTTGTTGCTGAATTTCACAATTTTTCTCTACGATTTTTCTCTATCGAAAAATTTTAAATAAAATTTTAAAAAAATAAAAAATTTTTAACTCATTCTAATTTCAATTAATCAATTAATCGATAACAACAATATAATTAAAAATTCAAAAAATAGGATGGATTTTAACTTATGTTATGAAAATTCAGACCTTCGAAAGTGACGGTAGGTCGAGCCGTGTAGATAGGAATCGGCGACCACCAACACGTGGCTTTTCGTCGAACATTTGGCGAGGATGGCGGAGGAGGTGGTTGATATCTAAATTTCGGTCTATGCTTATCAGGATCAAACGTTTGATCACCATCAGATTGTTTCAAAATCGATGATGGTCCCTTTGACGAGACACCTCGCACTTTTCCAATTAATTTACCTCCTTCCTTGCTCTGCGTTTTCGTGAATCCAGAGTTAACCTCGCTTTTCGAGGCGGAACACGGTCTACCAGCGAGATCTGGCGGTGAAGACAATGAACGCATGTTATCCCTTCTACTAGGGTATCTGTGCGCCACCCAACGGCCAGCCAAATAAGGTGCAATATCTCTCAGTTCGTGCACGTCTGGCGACGAAGTGAACATTTCACCCAGAATCGAAGTTTTTTGCGTAGCAAATTTTTCAAATTTCTTCCTCATCCGACCAACTGATTTTTTCGCTTCCAGTTCCTTAGTCTCTGCCTTCCTGGCCACGGAATTCGTAATAGTGGACGTGATAACCGACGAATCTTTCAATTCCGCCGTCTTGCTGATAACGTCGATGTGAGGCATGGATAGATCCTCTTTTCTCAACGGCACACGCGGAATCGGCGGTGATTCTCCTCTACGACGCGTTCTTCCTCTTCGAGGCTCGTACTTTCGCCTCAACCAAGCCACATCTGCGAACTCATGAGGCTTTAATTTGCCCTCGTCCACCTTTCTCAGAAGACATCTGGCCAGTTCGGGATCGCTTTGAAATTTTTTAGGCGCTGGAAGCACTCTAACTCTACTGGTACGAAGATCTTCGGCGCTTTCGAATTTGGCTCTGAGCCGTCTCACCGTGCCATTTTTCACTAGTTTCAAATAGGCACGCCAATATTTGTCCGGATCGGGTGAAGTGCTACGCAGCCAAATGCTCTCTAGACTGCAGGACGAATTCGATCGAGTGGTTGCGCGACACGGACTGACGCTGCGAGGCCTATCGTGTTCACGGTCGCGTGAACAGAAGTGCGGTCGTGTATTGGTGTCCATTTCCCGAGCAGGACTGCTTCCTTTTCGCTCGTCAGACGTTCCTCTCGGCGAGATCGAGCGTGTCCTGCACACCGACAATGCATATTTACCGGCCTCTGACTCGCCAAATAATTCTCTTAAATCGGCAAAGCTTTGAGAAGAGGATAATCTCCCTGGTTTCCATTTGTTCGTCTGTTCCTTTTTATTTATTTTTCCACGATCCGATTGGGTATCCGCGCTCTTGTCCACGTTCTCGAAAAACTCTATCTTCGCTGGAACATCTTGAGATTCTATATTTCGTTGAATGACAGTTCTCACAGACGTTTCGGAGCTTTCCGTCGTACTGTTTCCTTCGCTTCCTGAATTAGGGGCTATAATTTTTGTCTGATTAGGCGTGTCAGGTATCGCGATTGCCAGAAGAGGTGGTTTCTTCGACCACTCCTCTAAAACGTTCTCTACTCTTCGTCTGTCTGATGGACTTTTGTTGTTCGGTGTCAGGACTAGCAGAAAATCGTTCTTCTCTTTCACTCTCGACGAATCTTCCGCGTTCTGTGGTTCTAAAGAATAACAACTCCTAGGTGACGTGCTAGTTACGCTGGGTGCGGTCGAAGAACGTGTTATTTTTGGTATTTTTTTAACAGCAAGCGCAGCAGCTATACTACCTCGAGTCTCGCGAGGAGCTGTCAATGGCATTGACAGTCTTCTCTGCGAGATTTTGTCCAGAACTTCTTTACCGATCGTCACGGACAGCCTCTTCTTCTCTAATTCGCTCATAGATGGCGTTACACTGATTAAACTTTTGTCAGATTCCGATCTTTCTATACTCTTACCTCGGCTAATAGAACCACTTCTCTTCAACGATTCTGCACGATTTGTGAACGATTTTTGATCACTCGGAGAAGCATCAGACGTGATCATCGAGTGACATCGCACGTGAAGGCCCTTAGCATCGTCTTTATCGGTCGAGTCGATTTGGGGTGGAACGATAATTTCGTACTTCGACAGAGAATCTTGTTTATCAGTTCCTTCTTTCTTTTCCAATCTATGCTCGCCTATTTCGGAGGATGTCGATGGTACAGATCTCTGTAAATTATCGCTGCCATAAATTTCGTTTAATTGTTTTTTTAAAGTGGCTACTTGCTCGATGGATAAACTGCTCCAGAACTTTTTACTTCCTCCAAGGCTTCTTTGCAATGATGGATGATCCAAATGATCCAAAGATTTCTCGTTTTTAGATTCATTTGCTTTTTCTTGCATCGTGCTAGCCACGTTTATCACAGACGTGCCACGCCAAAGGGGTTTATACGTGTCCTTCCTCCACGATATTTCTCTTCTTTTGGAAGAATCCAATTCGCTTCCTTCGGATTGCAGTTTCTTGAAATGTTGAATAATATTCTCCACCGATCGTTCTTTACATCTCAAGCTACAATCACCGTTCCATTTGAACTTGCCGATATCCTTGGTGCTGAACAAAAAATTTTTATCTTTCTGAACCGCTTTTAACTTTCCATACAAAGTACTAAATTCAACCTCAGCTTTTTCCTGTGATCTCACCTTCCTCCATCTATCGTAATCAATTATTTCTTCGTTTTTCATTCTTGGCCTCAAATCGGTTGAAGAAAACGTTCTCTCTAATTCACCCAACCTCTCTAGACTCGAATAGAAGTCGTGCAATTCCTTGTATCTTTCTGATCTTCTCCTATCGTGCAACATACCCACTAAATACCGACGATATTCTTCACGATCGATCGGCGAGGCGCAAAGCGAACTCGTGCTTCTAGTCAGAGACAAATTGGATCCAAATTTTGGTTTTTCTTCTGCTTCGCCAGCGCTCCTGGCTCTAACTTTCTTCGCGACGATGGCACTTGGACCATCTGACCTTTCCTGTCTCAAGCTACGTATACGCCTACAGGCCGGTGATCTAATCGAAGACGGGGAGGAAGCGCGTGAAGACGAATGCTTCGAGTCGGAACACTCGGACAAGGTCTTCAAAGGTGGCTCGCTCAAACTCCTCTCCTTCAAACGCTCTTTCACAGAGTCTGGACTTTTATTGCGCAACGTGGTCGACGATCCAAAATCCTCGATGCCTAAAAGACTATCGAACTTGCTCACCTTTTGAAACATGCTTCTGCCAGGCCAACTGACGCCGTACGGGCTCGAACTTCGGGAAGAAACACTCTCCTTCTCCCAGTTTTTGAACTTGGAGTTAGATACCGGTCGCTTGTGGGCCAAGTAGATGCTAAGACTCTTCAAAGATGGCTCTGACTTACTACCTTCTCTGCTGTTTTCTTGATACATTCTGGCTCGTTCGCTGACGATCGATCTTCTCGAAGGGACATTTTCACTGGAAACGGTGGAAGAAATGGATCTTAAAAAGAGATTTTGAAAAAATGTATCGGAACGCGTGGCTTCGCCATGCTTCTTTATCTCTTCTATGCTCAACGACGAAGATCGTTGGTCCTGTTTGGGTTTACGTATCTTCCTGATATTAGGCTCTTCGTTCTCTATGTTACTTTTTCCGTCGCTTAAAATCATTTCGTCATCCCTCAGTTTCTTCATCCTCGCGGTATCGCCATTTTCCACTTTTCTCGATCTCTTCTTCGTTTCTATCTTCTTCCTGTCAGGATTAATCTGAATAGTTTCCAGCTTCCTAGCAGGAGATCTCACGATAACGTGAGGTCTCTGCCCCTTTTTTTTACTCGATTCGCCGATCGCCTCCGAGGAAGATGTAAACTCTCTGCTGGAACCCATCTTGTCAGGCCGTCCGACTATCGTCCTTACAGGCTTCTTGGTATCCGTTAACACCGTTCTACGTACGACCGATGGCGAAGACGTAGCCGAAGATGATTTCAAGGAAGAGGTAGACTTTGCGGCCGAAATCGAGTCCAAAGGCTTCCTCAAAATCTCCTGTCCCTTGGACGACACCGTCACGACCACTTTCAAAGACTTGTCCTGGACTGGCCTCTGTCCGCCATTGCTCGAACTCGACGAGTACAACATGGTCGAGCTTTTGACAAGCGTTCCAGACGGCAGCACTGTCGTGCGAACATCCCTCCCACTTTTCTCCCTACACTTCAGCAAACGTTTCCTACTCTCCATCGAAGAGAGATCGACCGACGATCTGGCTAATCTTCTAGAGGACTCTTCCTGTTCCTTCCGCGTCAACCGCCTTCTGCTCGCGTTAGTTTTTCTCAAATAAGAAACTGCATTACCGACCCCATTCGACCCAGATTGCAACTTTTCTTTCGTCGATTTTGTCGCAGAGGGCGACACATACTTGGAGGACATTTTCAAAATGGAGGACGATTTATCGCGTTTCGGCTCGGATTTGACGGGATATTCGCCAGGCCTGCACAACGACGAACTGTCCCCATAAATCCGAGTTCTGCCCCCGTTGGCTGCCGAGAAACTTTTCTCCCCAGCTGGGTCGGGCAAAGTTTGCGACAGGCGCGAGTCCTCCGTTTTCTTACACGACGGTGTCAAAACTTTCGAACGAGTCGGTATTGTCGGGCCGTTAGATGACGTTCGAAACGAACAAGTGTGCACGCTCTCGCGACTTTTCTTCCCGCATCTGTCCAAATTTCCGTGGAATCGTTCTCCGAGCGTGCCAACGTTGGAGCGTGCCTCTTCCTTGAAACACTGTTTGTGTCTCGACTTAAAAGGCTGCACAGTTTGACGTTTCGCGTTTCCATACAGTTTGAGAGTCTTGCTATTCCTAGAAGACTGTCTTCTTGGCGGGGACGGTGGCCTAGATATCGTCGTCTCACGTGGACCATGGAGAGCAATGTCTCTTAAAGACCTCGTCCTCGAAACAATTGTCGATCGAACGTCCATTTTCTTGGCTGTCGCGTTTCGACTTTCGATTAACGGGCTCTCGTATCGCGACAAAACGGCGGCACACTTGGTGGTCGAGGAGCCGTTTTTCCGGTGTACACGGATCCGTGTCAATGTGGGCGAGATAGGAAAATACTCGAGGCCAGTTTCGTCTGTGGATAAAATGTTTCGATTGGTGTTTTTTTGTTCGTCTGTTTGCGTGCCGTTCCCTGGAACCCTCTCACCACAACAAGAATTATATCGAAGAAAGTGGAGCAGTTTTCTTTCAAGCTGGTGATGTTGTTTTATTGAGTTTTGGTTTTTTTTTTTTTTTTTTCATTATTATTTTGTTTGCTTCATTTCAATCCAGCGCAGAGCAGTGAACATCGAAAGAGAGTCTTCTTGGATTGCGTGTGGTATGTACTTGTGCATCGTATTACGGGGTAAGGGAATTAAATCGCACACCAATATCGATAGATACCGAGGCGAGGCGGTGCGGTGAATAACTTAAAGAGCTACGAAGGATAATCGTGAAAGAGAGAGAAAGAAAGAGAAAAAAATAAGGTGTACAAGCTGCAGTTGGACATCTTGGCTGGCAGATAGCTGGTATTATAATGCGCTTCGTACTTTTCACTCGATGCATTATTCAAGTAAGATGGAATGTAAATTGTCGAGAGTCGAATTTTATTTAATCTGATAATTTTGAAACGAAATTATACGAATATATAATCGATAATTATTGCGAGTATATTGTGTTAGGGGAAAGATATTCAATAAACATAATATAATTTTGAAACAAATAAAAATTTATTCGAAAGAAATTTCAAATGCCAAACGATGTCGTGATCTCGATGCTGTTAAAAAACAAACGTCGCAGACGGTTCGTAAAAATTAAAAAAATCTCATGCTTCGAAGCTTGAAAATAAAAAACGAAAATTCACAAAAACATGCAGATATTTAATATATATATATATATATATAAAAGGAAAATACAAACAATATTAGTAATTAGTAAATTAATATTATCAAATGTGATACGTAAAAAAACAAAATTTAGGCGCAATCGATCGATCCTGTGCACGCATGCCTGTTCAAAAATCAAAATTCAAACAACGAACGATCGAGAAAATTAAAATTAAAAAAAAAGAAAAGAAAAAGTGTTCACAGAGACGTAAGAATAATTTTCGTACAATTTGAAATGGATCTCACTTACCCTTCGGTCGTTCTGGGGCTGGTTTACGAAGGCCATGAAGTGGCACGTCGCCACCACTTTGGACCGTTTTGTAGGCCAATCTTTGCTCGAGTTCACTCAACGGACCGATGTCCTCCTTGCGACGAAACACCAGCGTCGAATCACTCTCGTATCCCGATTCTTTGAGAGCGCTGTGAACAATTTGAATACGATTCAAATAATCATTCGTAATTTTTGATAAATATCTTTATTCGTTAACGAAGGATTTAAAAAAATATTTGCAAATTTTCCGATCTCTCTTAATATTTCGTAAACAAATTTATCAAAAAATCGATCGAAAAATTATTGAAATTATTATTAATAAAGATATAAAGAATATATATATATGTATATATTTAAACTTACTGTGACATGTACGGTTTCAATCTTTGCGGGGGACGATTTTTGTGTTGGTCGAAAGGCTGAAAAGCAAAGAGAGAAAAAAAAAAATATCGAAAACTCGTTAAAAGAACAGATAACAATAATAGAAAAAAAAAAGCTCGGTGTATGCAAATTTTAACACGTACGTACATCATGCTGTTCGTTTTCATCGATTTGTTCGCGACACCTTTAAAAATCGGATGGATGAAAACGACAATTCGATCGGTATAAACGTATCTTTCACGCGTTTTACACGCAAGACGCCGCAACGAATACGAGAACATCGATCATTGGCATTTGCTCAATCCAACATTCATGCAAAAACATTCGGCTAATGCTAAGCGTAAATTAAAACACAATGAAGGGCTTGAACGAGCATGAAGATGAAATGTCATTGATGTCATAAAATATATATTCGAGATAG